TACTACTACTACTACTACTACTACTACTACTACTACTACTACTACTACTACTACTACTACTACTTCTACTGGGATCAGGGGTTAGCACGGATCCTGCGGGATTCAAAAAATCCTGAAGGGCCCTGAAAGATTCTGATATACTCTGATGGATTATGAAGATCGAGATGGATTCTGACAGATCCTGAGGATCCCGAACGATTCTGAAGGATTCTGACAGATTCTGACGGATTCTGAAAGATTCTGAGGATCCTGTGGGATTGTGAAAGAGTCTGAAAATCCTGAAGGATTCCGAGGATCCTGACGGATTCTGATGGATTCTGACGGGTACTGAAGATCTTGAGGGATTCTGAGGATCCTGAGGGATTCTGAGGATCCCCAGGGATACTGAAGGATACTGAAGGATTCTGAAATAATCTGAAGCATTTTGGCGGGTGCTGAGAATTCTGGTGGGTTTTGAAAGATTCTGAAAGATCCGGAGGGATTCTTTTGGATTCCGATGGATTCTGGTGATCCTGTGAGGGATTCCCAGGAATTCTTAGGAACTTGACGGATTCTTCAGGGTTCTGAGGACCCTGAAAGATCCTGAAGGATTCTGAGGATCCTAAGGGATTGTAAAAGGATCCTGATGATTCTGACGGATTCTAAAGGATTCTCAAGGATCCTGAAGGATTCTGAAGGTCCTGAACAGGTTGTGAAAGATTCTGAGGATTCTGAAGATTCTAAAAATCCGGAAGGAATTTCAGGTGTCCTGAGGGAGTCTGGGGGGTTCTGAAGGATCCTGACGGATTCTGAAGATTCTGATGGGTTCTCCAGGATCCTGAAGGGTTCTGAGGACCCGCAGGGATCCTGAGGGATTCTGACGGATTCTGAAGGATTCTGACGGACTCTGAAGATCCTGTCAGAAGATTCTGAAGTATTCTGAGGACCCGCAGGGAACCTGAGGGATTTTCGTTGATCGGGAAGGATTCTGAAGGATTCTGACGGATTCTGAGGTCTCTGAGGATCCTGAGGGAATCTGGAGATTCTGATGGATTCTAAGGACCCTGAAGGATTGTGATCGAGGGATCTTCAGGATCCTAAAAAGGATCCAGAGGGATTCTGAAGATCCTGAAAAATTCTGGAGGGTTCTGATCGATTCTGAGGATTCAGAGGGAGTCTGAGGATCCTGAGGGATTCTGAAGATCCTCAGGGATCGTGAGAAATCCTGAAGATTCTGAAGGATTCTGATGGATTCTGAAAGATCCCGAAGGATTTTGAGGATGCCGAGGGATTCTGAAGGATCATGACTCCTGACCCCCTGGGACCTGGACCCTGGGCCCTGAGCCCAGGGCCCCGTGTCCTCAGCCCTCAGCCCGGGGGGGCCCCGGGGGGGGCCCTGCGGGGGCCGAAGGCCCCCGCAGAGGGCCTTCCCTTTTTTTTTTTTTAGATTACAAAAAAAATGCCAACAAAACGTCCGGCGTCTTGAATCCCGGACCCGGCTTTTTGTTCAAAGGATAGCGGGGGGTACCGATACCGGCCTGGCTGGGATGGTATGAGTTCGCAGGTTGGATGGACATTTGAGTCAGCATCATATGTGTTTTGCATAGGCGCCCGGGGAGTCGATAAGTCCGGGGGGGGGGGGGGGCAGAACATGTTTTTTGTTGGAAACGATAATATACGTGGTTGCCCGCGCATGCACGCGCGCACAGCGGCCAGCTAGTTTGGCGCGACCGACGCGACCGCGGTGGCGCTGACCGCTGGGCACTTCCTAGCGCGTCTCGCAGGCCACGCTGATGCGCGGGCACTTCAGCACGAGTCGCTGTATCATGGCGACGTCGACAACGGTAGACACGACGATGGTAGTGGCGATGAATGACGACGGCAAAGCAAATGACGGCGCCAATGCTGATCACGCCGCTGATGGTGTCCTCGGGTCAGTAATACCAGGTTTTTCACGCTTGCATCCAAATAACAACATGCGCGCGGCCGAAACCCGCGAGTGGCCCGCATGGTATTGTTTGACGAGGATCGCGCCCGCCAACACGTGCGCAAGGGCGGTCGAAAGATTTCGGCATGCGCGCGCGAGAGGCCCGCTTGGTCGAATTGGATAAAATATTGAAGAAGCACCGGGTTTCCAGAAGAATTCGCAAGAGCGCGCGCACACTTGTTTTAGAAAACTGATGTTGCGAAGCCGTGTGTTGTTAATACGTTTTCGGGGCACTCGATTTTGGAATCGAAGCCTAAGGCTTATGAAGCCTGACGGGATGCGCGCGACGACGCGCGCGTATGCATTTCGTCACATGTGTTGCAAGGGGTCGTCGGAAGCTGGTGACTTGTGATAAACGTGTGTGCGCGCAGAGCTTCTGTTGGAGAGGAGGGGGGGGTGTCGATCGCGGTTTGGCTGGGGTGGTACGAATTCATGTTTCGGAAGGACGATGGGGCAGAATGATATGCGACTTTCAGCACGAAGAGGCGGGTGGATGATCCCGCCCACGGGGGGATGGTAGATCCGAGATCCTTTGTAGAAAAGAGAACCTATGTCTTGGATTGCAATCGATTCGATTGCAGCCGATGGGACTGCAATGGATTGGGTTGCAACTCATTGAATTGCAATGGGGGAGAAGGGCAAAGGGGCGGCGACCACGGGACGGGGGGGCAACGACGACAACATAGCCGCCATGCCGGCGGTCAGGGCCGAACGACGGGCGGCGACGAGGCGCTGACGGGGCGACGACGGCGACAGCATAGCCGCCAGACCGACGGTCAGGCCCAGTTCCTAAGAACAGAAGTAAGAGCCGCCAAGTACAAGCACTGCGTGTTGGGAATATCATTTTTTCTCGCTATATCTCGTTACGTTCTATATTTCGGAATGTTGTTTTCTCTCTCTCTCTCTCTCCATGTGTACCCATATGGTCTGCAATACAGCGTCCGCGCACTTGCCACGCACACCAGCACGAGCACACCCGTGACCGCCGCAGGTAGAGCGAGGCCCGCAAACGGCGCGAACCTATACAACTGGGAGGAGCCCTGCACCTCACACGAGGACGATAAGGAGGGGGGCCACCCCCGAGCAAGGCGGGCACGTACCAATGGCTGGCGCTGTCCACGCTCTGTTCGTCTGCGGTCTATCCCGCCACAGTGGCTGGGTACTCTTCGGCTCTCCTCCTGGGGGGAATCTGCTCCTACTCGGAGTGTCGCTGGGGGGCTCTCTTGCAGTCATGCTCAATGTTTCTGGGGCCGTCGTGGGTGCCCTTACTGAAACCGGCGAGTCGGCAATGGCCGAGTCAAACAATCACAACGGCTTTCAGCGATGCGTGCTCCGCGTTTCATCCCAAGTGCACCTTGGACACTCTAGGACACGAGGAGGCAAAGACGACACACATCGTCGGAACGTTCTGTTCGGCCGAGACCGTTGGGGAGGGACTCGAAGACACGAGATGGCATGGATTATGGAAATCACCAGAGCGTTTCGAAGACACGTGGGGATGCCTGACAGCATCTTGGGGAAGCATCCGGGTCGTGGACAGGATGCGTCTTAGAGGCGTCCTGGCGTCCTTTCGGGCGGCCTCGCGAGGTCTTTTGGAATCCTCGGTGGGGCCTCTTGGGGGCCTGATGGTGGCATATTGGGGGCCTGGAGCAGTCTCGGGAGCCATGTTGGGGTGTGGGGGGCCTCCATGGCCCCTTCTAGTTCGCCATCGTGGGCCCCTCTCAGGGGCAGCCTGGGCCCCTACAGGGACCATCGGGGACAGTTTTCTGGCTCTGTCGGCCGTCTCGGGCCTCTTTTGGGAGACTCTTCTCTTGCGCTCTGAAAGCAAAAACACATATAACGTGAACACATTGAATACATTCTCAATGGTGATCGCGTTCTCGCCTGTCTGGGCTTGCGGGAAGCGAAGACAGGCATCCCCAGGGGCTTCAAATACAGCCCCAAGGCGGCACAAGAAGCCCCATGAACGCCCTAAGAGGGGCCAAGGAGCCCCCACGACGGCCCGAGAGACCTGCAAGACGGCCCTGCAGCGTTCCAAGAGGGCCAAAGGTGGCCAATCCAGGTTTCCAAGACGGCCTCCGCAAGCGTCCGTCATGCCAAGCAAGCCCAAGCACGGCACACGATGTCCACCGCCAGAAGCCCCCAGAAGGCGCCCAAGAGTGCCCGTAGAGGCCCTCAGGACCCCCCCAGGCGGCCCCAAGAAGGCCCCAAGAGGCCTCCTCCTCCTCCTGGCCCTTCTCCTTCTCCTTCTCCGTTTCCGTCTCCCCCATCTCCTCCTCCTTCTCCTCCTCGCCCTCTTCATTCCCAACGTTTTCCCCCCCCAAACGTTTGGGGAAACAATGGCCAAATGTCATGGCCAGACACACGCTCACCTTTGATCAACTATCTACTTTCAGACAGCAGGGGGCGGCGGTGATTCCCCGTGGGCGTCTTCGATGATTGGTGCAACGTTAACAAGAAAAAGGCCAAACATCCTCCCTCTGCTGCTCCATCGAGCCTCCTGCAACCACCCTGGTCCAGGACCATCCACCCTATCGTCCTTCTCTTGCACATCCTCATGTTTCGCCGCTGGTGCTGCTCCTCCTGTAGCCCCCAGGCTCCCTAGCCATCCCAGATCCTCCCATACCCTGGTCCGCAGTCGACCACGTATTTCCTCCTGGCTGCGCCCAGCCCCGTCCCACCGAACCCCGCCCCAGCGAGACGGAGTCCTCATGGAGCCCTCAAAACCCAAAGCCTTGAGTAAATGACCCCCATGCCTGGAATAATGTAACACAACGTCCGACAAAAAAGCAAAGGACCTCAAACATCTGAGCCAACGATGGGGAAACATTGAATACGGCTGGTTCTTGATGGCAACGCGGCGCTGGCTCCGTTGGCATGGTTCGGGCCGAGATTAACCTCCAAACTCAAACACCCGCGCCAGCGTCGACGCGTCGCCGCGTCGCCGCCGCGCCGACGCGGCGAGACCTGCCGCACAGGCGACCTATGGGGCATGGGGCACCGTGCCCCCTGGCTCTTTGGAACCTCCGGCGGCCTGAATGGCGTGCGCCATGGCACTGGGACCGCCCGAGCTGGCGGCGAGGACCAACTGCTCCAAGGTGCGGGCGCCGTACGCGAGCCCAGCAGGAGACGCAGCCGTGATCTCCGCGCTGGCGGCCGCCGTGTTTCTCGGCCAGCCGGCCGGCCGGCCTCGTCCACACGAAAGCCCCAGCCCTCGTGGGGGCCTGAGCAGAGACAGCCGCCTCGCCCGACAACGTTTCGGGACTGCCGTCGGCACCCCAAAGGTTGACGGACAAGCTCAGCAGAACTCCAGGAAAGGAGGCGCGGAGGAGCAGTAGGAGAAGCTAATGGATAATGACGATGAAGAGGAGGAGAAGGAGGACTGGTGGAGGGGGAGAAGAAGGGGGAGGAGGATGAAAGGGTGCTTTGTTCTTCTGCTCGAACCTAAGGACAAGCTTACCGATTTCGAGTATGACAGACATGTCACACCTCCCAAGGATCGGGACAAGCGGCGATGGTCCTCAAGTCAACTCCAAGCTCGAAGTGCAACAACAAACATTGTGAAACAACCAATCCCAGGCTGGGCAAGCCGTTGTATAGAGATCTTCTCTTGATGCCAGCCCTTGGACTTCCTGCGAATCAAATATACGTACCTCTCTACCCCCACCCACCCACCGCATCAAACTCAATGTGTGTCCATTTGTTTGCGCCGTGTCCCAAAATCTGGCTCCCCGAACGGGAGGATGAAACCGCAGACCTACTCGCCGGTGGAAGACATACACTTTCTTCACAAATACCTAGCTCCAATCCCGGCGTGGGGTTCTCTCCCAGTCGGCTCCCTCCTACTTTATGTGAACTACTACGCTTCTAAGCTGCTCCTGAGCAGATCATCAGAAACTCCTTGGAAGCTCATAAAAGCTCCTGGGAAGCTCATAGGAAACTTCTGAGAAGCTCCTGACAAGCCCATTGGAAACTCCATACGAACTCCTTCTGAGCTCTATCAAGCTCCTCAGGAGCTCCTTAGAAGCTCTTTCGAATCTCCTTAGCGAAAGGCTCTGGAGAGGCCGACGCGGAGGAATGCACCTCATAGCTTGCACCACGTAGCTTGCATCGCATAGCTTACACCACATAACTCATATCACATGGATCGCCCCACACAGATTGCACCGAGTAGGTTGCATCACATAGCCCGCACCACACACATACTCATATAGTGATGCATCCTGCATGCTCCCCCCCCGGATTGCACACACACACACAGACACACACACACACACACCACAACATCCCATGACCTCTTTTGGACGCCACCCCCTCCGCCCCGAGCCACCTTGCCGACGGTCCCACGGGCCCCTCCAGCTAGCCTCCAGAACTTGTCTAGACGCCGCGGAGGCCCTAGAGATCTCGCAACGACTCCCAAGATGGACAAGAGAGTCCGAGGACGGCTCCCACACGGCCCCAAGATGGCTACAACACGACCCAACAGGCTTCCAAGAAGGCGTCAGATGAGCCCCGACAGGGCCGCCAGAGGTAAAAACCTAAGATTATCATGTGGGTTTGGAAGAATTGGGGGTTTCTCCCCACTTCGAGTTTCCTGTGGCCCACGACGACCTCGCCCCCAGACAGCTGCAGCAGCCTCCAGGACGGCCCCAAAACTCCCCAAGAGGACCCCCAGACGCCCCAAAGTGCTCCAAAACGGCGCCCAAGAAAGCCCACGAAAGCCCAAAGGAGGCTCCCGAGACGGACCCAAGGGACCGCAAGACGGCCCAAGAAGGCCCTGGGACGAGCACGCGGCCTCCAAGACGCCCTGGAGGTCTCCCATTGTTCCCAAGTACTGCCCAACATGTACCCCTGGAGGCCTCCAAGAAACCCGCGAAGGGGCTCCCAGTAGCATCAAGCACCTTCCAAGTGACCATCAATAATCTCCCGACCCCCCTCCACCAAGGCAGTACGTCCTCCTCCTCCCCTTTTCCTTCCAACCTCATTGCGTTGCACCATCGCCTTCGAAACAGCCCTTCAGACGCACAGGCCCCACGACGGCGTCCAGGGAGCCCAACGAAAGCCGAAGGGGGCTTCCAAGACAGCCCCGAGAAACCGCAACAATGGGCCAAAAAGGCCCCAGGACGACCCATCCTCTTCCCCCAACTTGCATACGTCCTCTCATCCTTCTGTTCCTCCCGCTCCTGTCCTAGCATTATTATTAGTATTCTTATGTGCTGTCTCATTATCATTATCGTTGTTAATATTGTTTTCATCAGTCGGATTACTTGCATTACTACTACTCAGTAAAACGACCCACCCGCGACCTATCAGCGCAGATGCGGATGAGAGTGAGGGGGCGGCGGGGACGTCGGCAAGTTGCGAGACTCTGGAGATTCCCGCCGCAGGCGCCAACATTTCACAAACTGTACAACGAGCCCGTCGCAGGCGCCAATTCTTTCGTTAAACCAATGTGGGTAGGTCGTGGGTGGGTCGCATATGGGTCGCGGGTGTAGAGGGCAGAACATCCACCCCGTAAGAATCACCCCGACAAACGAAGCCGTTTAGTAAACGCACACAAGGAATGCATCGAACAGGGCAGGGCTGTTTAGTCAACGCCCAAGGCCGTTTAGTAAACGTCAATTGTCGGCTTCGAGTGGTTTTTCCTCCCTTGTAGGTGGGTCGCGGGGTGGGTCGCGGGTGGGTCGCGGGGTGGGCCGCGGGTGGGTCGCGGATGGGTCGCGGATGGATCGCGGGGTGGGTCGCGGGTGAGTCGCGGGTGGGTCGCGGGTGGGTCGCGGGTGGGTCGCGGGGTGGGTCGCGGGTGGGTCGCGGGGTTGGGTCGCGGGTGGGTCGCGGGGTGGGTCGCGGGTGGGTCGTGAGGTGGGTCGCGGGGTGGGTCGCGGGGTGGGTCGCGGGTGGGTCGCGAAAGGGACGACGACACCAACAAACAACAACAACAACAACAACAACAACAACAACAACAACAACAACAACGACAACAACAACACCAACAGCAACAACAACGACAACAACAACACCAACAACAACAACACCAACAACACCAACAACAACAACACCAACAACACCAACAACAACAACATCAACAACAACAACCACCATAACAACCACAACAACCACAACAACAACCACAACAACACCAACACCAACAACACCAACAACACCAACAACACCAACAACACCAACAACAACAACAACACCAACAACAACAACAACAACGCAACAAACATAATTCTCACCACAAAATCCTGATCCAACTACGCACCCAGGGTCAATGAATGACCGTTCGGCCCCCTCACTCTGATTATTACGATTAGGACTAGCACCATCATTATCATTATCCTTATCGTTATTATATATGTATACATCTATATCTAACATCCTCGTCATCCTCCTCGTCCTCCGTCTTCGACCTCATCCCATCTTCGTCGTCATCGTCGTTCTCCTCCTCCTCCTGCTTCTCCTCCTCCTCCTCCTCCTCGCCTTCCCCTCCCCCTCTTTTCTCTTCCTGCCCCGCCCCCTTTTCTGACTTCACCGCACTGCATTCGCCTCTTCGAAAAGCGATCGGGGCTTCGGAAAAGACGGAAACGCGGAAGGGCCAGACGGGCCCAAAGCCAGAACGACAGCACATTTCGTCACTCTTTCTCCAGGCGTTGACATTCACCCCTCAGTTGGTCAACCCCGTCGCCCTCGCAAAGCGACCCCCGCCCTTCCCTTGCGCCCGTCACGCCCGCTCCCCCCAACCGTGCCCGCAGGCCCCTGTTGCATTGATGGGGATGGCCCTTCAGGACCGCGATCTTGATCCCACTCGCGGTCATCGGATCAACTTCCTTGCTGCCCAGATCCCCTTCCCGTCGTGACCCTCAACCCACCCACGGCTCTTCCAAATCAGGGCTGTTGAAACGACTCCGGATGACAAGCCGGTCCCAAGAACTCGAATGTGGGATGGGAATCGGCGTTGGGACAAAAGTCGCATATCTGGGGGCCAGCGAATCCACGCACGCAGATCGTCGAGGGGGGGCGCATGCGTTTCCACAGAAATAACGGATGTCCATTATTTTGCTTGCCTGCCCGACCGTCATTTCAACAACCTGTGGGTAGCTCAATACACATGGCCTTGACCCCCCTCGCGGTCATCACATTCACACATCTCGCAGTGCAACTGCACTTGCATCCAATTCGAGATCATGACTAAGACACCCCTCGCAGTTACCACCCTCCCCCCTCATGATCATCACTGGCACCCATCCCCTCCCAATAACTATTCCAATTCCGCTCACGATTCGAATCGCATGCCACCTTCACCAGGGTCATGAATTGACCCCTCTCGGATTATGACCATGACCCACTCGCGGTCATCTTGCCGGGCTTTGCTCTCAGCGCTCAATTTCGAAACCACTGCCCAAACATTGCTTTGCCATGACTTTCGCCCCGCTGGCGGTCATGGCGTACACACCCTGGACGTCATAACCGTCACCCCTGTTGGGGTCAGGACTCGCCATGGTATCGATGTTATCACCTTCGCCCCCGTTGCAGACATGCCCTTCCCCAGTGGCGTGAACATGCCTATAGGCTCCATCCGGCCCATGACCCGCACGAGCCTCCTGGTCATTACCTTTCCACTCCGGTGAGTCCCTCGGCAGTCCCCCGACAGTGCCTCGACGCAGGGCCAAGATTTGAGGCGAAGCGAAGCGAGCCCTCCACTTAGGTGTGGGTATGTAGACATACAATGCAACGAATAACGAATGCATGCCCAGTGAAATCGAAAAACATGCGCAAACATCACTTTGGGTGTATGGTTAGAATTGTAAACGCATGGAATCGGTCCGTTATTGATTTCCCCTGTAAGTGGTACTTTTGCGAATCTCAGCTGCGAAGTGCAATTGTGATCTTGCAGAGTTGCAACCCCGAGGCGCGCAACTTCCTTTGAACAACCCGCCGGGGAAAAACGCAGCCCGTCAGGAAAGAGAGGAGAACCGGTTTGAGAAGGGCGTGGGCCCCCCACAAACCCTGCCCGCGCATCCCTGCCACGCAACACCATTGCCTGGCCTGTGCATCACGGATACTTGCGACGAGGGGGCTCAGGGCGAAAAGGCACACGCCCGACTTCCCCAAAGACGACGCGGGCTCTGGCTTCTGTCCCCGCGTGCCTCCTTCAATCTCGGAAGATCCCTGCCGTCGGTGGCCCGAGTTCGCTTTCTTGTACTCGCCGGGGGGACGGTGCGCGGCCTCCTGGGCTCCTCGGCGCTTCAGGCCAGAGCCCTGCGCGCCGCCACGCTAGGCCCGGGCAGGCCGTGCTGCCTGGCGAGGCCCAGGGGAAGAGGAAGGGGACGACGCACGCGCAGGCGGAAGGCCTGGGCCGGCGGGGCGGGCGGGCAGGCCGTCGGGGGGTCCTCGGGGGTCGCCGAAGGTCGTCCACTTCGACGCTCGCGACCGCACGGCTGCCGCGGCAAAGAGGCCGCGCGATCTCAAGGGCCCGGGTGTCCTGCTGCAGTGCCACGAGGGCGCACCGACCCTGGGCCACGGGACGCATGCCTGACCAGGATGCAGTGGGGAACTGGTGCTTCGCGTATCGCGGCGGACGCCTCGGCGACTCGCTACCCCTTGCGAGCGGATGGCGCGTCGCTCCGCTGCGCTCCGTGGGGCGGGAGGGCGGGAGAAGCCTGGGACTGTGGCGCTCGGGGGCCAGGAAGCAGACAGCGTGTCGCACCGAAACGTGGTGGGCCAGAGCCGGCGGAGTGACACGTATCAGTGGCGCGTCCTGCGTGAACTTACCCCTGCCCTCCCCCCCTCCCCTCTGGAGCGACCCGTCCAGCTCATGCTTTTGCGAGCTCGTCCTCCGTGTCAACCTGCCCTTCCTGCGCCTCATTCTCCTTGTCCGCCTCGCCTCGGAAGCGGGAAAAGGGTATCGGCCTGCTTCCGTTCACCACCAACCTGTAGCTCTCCGGGTTCTCCCTCGCATCCTCCGCGATGGCCAGCCGGATGTACGAGCTGTGCGTGCATCTTTCTCTAGGTGGCAGCACTTCGCTGCTGCCATCCAAACGAGCAGGTGTCCGCAACCCCCCCGGGCCCTCCTTCTCCTAATCCTTCTGGTGATGCGTCTGTTCCTGCTCTTCTTGATATCTACACGTCGGACACAGGCCATGCGGGTTATGCTTAGTGGGAGGGGGAGTAGGAGGAGAAGGAGGAGGAGGAGGAGGAGGAGGAGGAGCAGAATAGCGATGAAGAGAGAGGGTGAACGAAGCTTGTCATGTGGGAGGTGGATCGACAGGGGCACGACGACGACGAGAGAGCTGCTCCGCCACCGACGAACTTCAACCGAAGCTGGCGGATGTCGCGGGAGTGTCTGGGGCAAGACCGCGCACGAGCGACTTCCGAGGCCCACCTCGAAGACCACCAGCGAGCGCGGCAGGATCTTCCCGAAGCCGGCCGCGTCAGGGAGGGGCGACAAGGGCGAGGACAGGGCACGAACGCTTCTGCCCCGACCCTTGGGCTCTGGACCTGGCCGAAATCGGAGCATTCCTCCGAAAACGCGGGCTTCATCTTCCCGAGGATGGGAGGAGCTCGGCCGATGTTTCCGCCAGCGCCCACGTCAATCAATCCAGATGTACATGCAGCGCGCAGAGATATTTCGCCTTGGGAAAACAAAGCCCTGTATGCAGCAATAAATTCCTGCCAATTCGCAATGCACCCCACCCGACGCAGACCATCTGGCTGGCGGTTCTGGCTCTCGGCACATGTGGGAGGCAGGGACGGCATGTCTGGTGGGCCTCCGGATTCGTGACCCCCGAACACACACACACACACACACAAACACACACACACACACACACACACACGCACGCACACACACACACACACACACACAGAAACACACACACACACAAACAAACACATTATCTGTATCCACTCCCCCGCGACCACCCCACCATGCATCACTGCATTTCACGGCTGCGAGGCTCCGCCGCTTGCATCGGATAAGCGTCGTGCTAAAGGTGAGGAGAAGGGAGGGAGGAGAGCGAAGCACGGAAGCACGGCATAGGAGCCTGGACAAAGGCGTAGAAAATCACTGACGGCCCAATTTGCCCCGCGGAAGGCAAGAGGAAGACGACGACGACACGAAGCAAATCGAAGAATCGGCACAGCCCCCCCCCCAAATCCCACAGTGTGGCGCGGCGACGCTGCTCTGAGAGCCGTCAATGCCATTAGACCTCAAGAGCATCGATCGCTCACGGTGGGCCCCGCCCCCTTGAACGAACAAGTAAGCATGAGTGCACAGACACCTGGCATCACAAACATGTCGATAAGGCAAGCGAGTTCAAAATGTTGTCCTCTGACGGCCCGCTTCGGCCCCTGACGAAATTCCCTTTGCGTCGTCGTCGCCGTCGCCGCTCCCCCCCTTTCCCCTTCCTCGCCCCTCCCTCTCCCAGCCCCCCACCGTGGACAAGGGGGACAGGGGGATGGCCCCCTGTGGACAGGGAAACTCAGGCCCCATCCCCCCGCCTGGGAATGGCCCACTGTGGACAAGGGAGACCCACCCCCCCTGGAGGTACCCTCCTCGCTCTTATCTGCTGTTGGGTGGGGGTGCTGCGTGTTTTCCCATATGCCTCCAAGAAGCCTCAGATCCGCTCCGAGGCGGCTCCAAGTGACCACGGAGCTCCCCAAGAAGCTCCCAAGAAACCCCCTACCAGAACCCAAAAGAGGGTCCCAAATGAGCCCCAAGAAAGGCTCCAGAGCGTCAGCGTCGGCGTCATAGCCGCCACCGCCGCCGTCGTCGTCGTCCCCCTTCAGGGTCGGCGGCACCAGCCGTAAGGCCTTCCCAATATCGATGAGGCCAGTGTGCTCGAGATGATGTCCTCTGGAGGCCTGTTTCGGCCCCTGAGCTCATCAAAACAACGACCGGTGATGGAAACTCATTCTGGGGATGGGTTCGACAACTACAGGGCCACACGTCACGAAACAATCATGACGCCGCAGACGTGAAAGAGACAGCGCAATGACACTCAGAATCGCCTCTTCTTTGCCCCGGAACGGCCTCCTAAACGGTCTCTGGGATGTGCAGCGCATGTGGCGCTCGCTCGGCACACCCCTCAAGAGCAACCCTAGGGTGGTGAAGGTTGATGCGTTTAAGCGGTATCGCCTGCCTGATCTCGGACCCAGAGCCCCTCCCTTTCCCCCTGCTCTTCCCAATCACCCAACCCTCCTCTGCCGTCCCAGAAGCCCCTTTCTCACCCGCCCACCGTGCACACTCAGACACTCAGTGTTCATGGCGGCATTGACTGGTTCCGCCGAGGATTCGTTTCGTCATAGATCTCGCTACTCCTGAGCACGTGTCGCAGAGTCGTAGGTGAAGCGGCGTGGGAAAGACCGGGGCTCGAACACTCCGACATCTGACACCTGAGAAAATCGCGGCGCCGTGAAAAAAAACGTCTGGAGCTTCCGACCTCATTCTTGTGTAGAGCTTCTCGAGCGATTCGCCGAGACGTGACGCACGAACGCCGTGCTTCTATGTTTCACCACCGCCGGGGCGGCACCTTTCTGCTTCACCACTCCTGGACGCCAGGGCGGCACCCACGCCAGGCGTACGACTGCCGCCACTCTGCTGCGCCCCCCCTGGAGGTCCAGCGGAGCGGCTCCACACGCAGACCCCACCGCTACCGGGCGCTGCTGGGCGCCCTCCCGCGGCCCACCCAGCGAGAGCGAGAGCGCCTAGCGGCGCCTGACAGCAAGTGGGCAACGATTCGAAACGGGTCTCACTCGAGATGAAATAGCGACCTTACGCGGGCCGCCAGCGCGGCACGCTTTATTGGAAACGAGGGCGCTCACGCGCGAACTTACGCGGACAGCTGACGCGCGCATGCCCGCACGGTCGAATCCGTTTGTCTGCGTCGCCCACGTGGCAGCAGCAGCGTCCCGCAGCGCCCAGGCCGGCGACAGCCGCACGCTTGGCAGCGCCCAGCCCTGGGCGCTGCTGGGAGCGCGGCTGTCGCCACCCCGCTGCGGACCCCAGGCGACACCGAGGACCTGCGCGAGCCCCTCCCTCCCCCAGCTGCGGGCAAGGTTTGTGTCCATATCCACTGCGCCTTGGGGTCTTGGACTCCCTTCCCAAAGAACCAGAGGCGCAATGGACATGGACAAAAATCTGGCCCACAGGGGCCAGATTTTTATCCATATCCACCTTGCCTCGGCCGTTTGGCGCCCCTGCCCAAAAGGTCCAAGACGCAATGGATGTGGATATGAGTCTTGGCCGCACCCAAACTTTTTGCATGGGGGAAACGGGTCCTGTGGGAAACGGGTCCTGGACCCCGGGACCTTCCCCCAGGACGAGTTCTTCACCCTGCGTCGATGCCTGACAGCCCCAGGGCCCGTGACGGGCCCCGGGAGCCTGAGAATGGCGACGAGAAACCTCAGGACCCCTTGCCCTCAGGATCCGCTTCCCGCCCCCGCGAAACCTCGCGCGCGGTGGCCCCGCTCCCGCGAGGCCTCGCGGCCTCGCCGACGGCACGCGCCGCCCGGCCGACCTGCCGCTGCAGGCTGGCGACGGCGGGGTCGGCGGCCGAGGCGCCTGCTGCCGAGGAGGGCTGGCGGCCGCGCGGGAGGGGGGCACTCTTTCCGGCGGCGAGCCCAGGGGGGAGGTCGGCCGTGTTGGCACTAGTCGTGTGCTGTTTATCCAAGTCATCGGCGAGGGCACGGGCAGCAGTCACCAGAGGATGGTGCCGCCCACGACGGCGGCAACCTGCAAAGTGCTGCTGTTGCACGGGCGTGACATGTCAACGAGATGCTTGAGCTCGGCGGCGCGCCAGGGACATACGAGACTTCTCAGAAGGTCTGGAGGCTTCTGAGAAGCCCCGCTGCCTTCTGAGAAAGCCTGGCGTCCTTCTTCTTCTCACTTCCCCCACCCTCGCTCGCCGCCGATGTTGTACCATCGCAGCGGAGCCCAGCGGCAATCGGGGTAATCGACGGACGAAGGCGACGAAAACGACGGCGACGACGAGCGGGAGGAGGGAAGCGGAGGGGCGAGGGAGCAACGCCTGCGCCCGAGGGGGGCACGGGCGGGGGGAGGGCAGGAGGGGCGGTTCGCCAAGGGGAGAAGTGGTCCTGCAAGATACGGTCGGGAACTTCTGCTTAGCGTGTCGCCGCGGCGGCCCTGGCGAAGGTCTATCCCTTGCGAGCGGATAGCGTGTCCCTCCGCTCCGCGGGAGGCTCGGAAAAGCTCAGCACGCGGACGCCTCGGGACCGCCAAGTGGATAGCGTGTCGCACCGACGCGCGGTGGGTCAGAACCAGCGGAGCGAGACGCTATCCAACAATTCCCGACCTGAGTTGGCTCAAAATCTCGAGACGGACGCGCTGTGGTCCAGCCGCAGATCCGTTCTCATCCGTGCACAGGTGCACTCTGAGACGGGGTGGATCAGGCCGCGCTGGCGCCGATGCAAGCAAACTGACGGATGGAGCTGGAAACCTGCGGCCAGTCGCGCGCCGAGCAGTGAACTCCAGTGACTCGCAGAACTTATCTATTAGCGCGCAAGGTTCCTGGAATGCTGTTGCGCCGCTTTTGGGCTCCCCGGGCACTCCCTGGGGCCCTGGGACCGTCAGCTGGTCCCAGAGCCAGCATGAGATGTCGAAGTGCTGCTGGGAAGACGCTGGTCGTCCTAATTGGCGCTGGCCGTTCCCGCAAGCGCCATGAGGCCTTCCTTCTTGAGAAGCCCCCCGCGGTGCCCTTCTCTCTGCGTGCCGCCGGGAGGGTGTACTTGCGACCTGCGCAAGTCCATTCTCTAAAGGCAGACCGCTGCCGCTCACACCTGTCGCTGGTCGACTCCTCGCCTTGGGCCTCCAGCTAGATCCACCACCCTCTCCTCTTCCTGGCTGGAAGAGGAGGCCCCCACCGCCTCCTCGTGACACCCTGGGCTCGAGGGTCGCCCGAAATGCCCAGCAGCGAAGCGTGCACACGCGTTGCCGCGCTCTGAGCTGGCACTTCCAAGCACGAGACCTGGAACGCGTGCCCCTGTTCCTTCATGTGTTCCTTCTCCTCCTCCTCCTCCTCCTCCTCCTCCTCCTCCTCCTGTTCCTGTTCCTCATCCTTCTCCCTCCCGCCTGACTTCCCCCATCCTCCTCACACTTGTACGTGTAATCATATACATGAGTTGAGATACGCGCTTTGCATGCGATATTAGACAGCCTGTAGACTACATCTATGAACACATCACAATAGTGCGCTTACGTATACGTCTGTATATATATACAAAAATTCACACACACACACACACACACGTACACTTGTATACACTGTATATTCACATGTATAGCAATACGAGTTTCATCATCGTCCTCCTAGCCTCTTCCACCTATTCCCCCCGCCCTCTGCTCCCCCATCCTGGTCATCCACTTCTTGCTTCTCTCTCTCTCTCTCTCTCGTCGTTCTCATCCTTTCCCTCCTCTGGGTCCTCCTGGTAAGCCTCCTTCTGGTCCTCCTCCTCCTCCTCCTCCTGCTGTCCTCCCAACCCTCGTGCCTGTCCTCCTGTCCCCCTTCCTTCTGCACTTCCTCATCCTATTCCGCCCCTGCCGCCCTGCTCCCTGCTCCCCCTCCTCTTCTTCACATCCTCTCCATCCTGATTAGTTATTGTTCCTCTTTTTCCCTCCACTGGCGCAGTGGCAGAGCAGTGCGGGCGGGGCGGGGACATAGAAAAAACAGGACAGGTCCCTGGGCGCGGTCAACGATTCTTGACCCACTGCGCCCTCACCTCTGCCTTCGAGGTCGAGGCCTCAAACGTCAGCGAGGTGGTCGAGCAAGACGCCGGATCTCCAACGCCACGGAGCAAAGCACGAAGGGCGTCTTCCCAGGATCCAGCGACGACGCGAAGGAGGCGCAAATGCAGGTCTTAGTGAATGGTGTGGTACATTATCGCCACAGCAGGCGTGCGGAGCATGCACCTTGCAACTCCAGAGGGCACGGCACGCCCCGCGTCTCTTGCCTAGACAAGGGAGCGCGACGCCTCCTCTCGAAACTGCCAGCGCCGTCAATCGACAGCAGATCGGCGGGGTTTACCAGAGGAAGAAGGTTCGCCCTCCACCACCCGCATCCGAGAACGACGGTCGCAATCCTGCAGCACTGTGGTACTGCAATGCAGCCGTTGCGCTATTTTCGAGCAGCGAGGTGGAGCTATGTGGAACTATGCCAGCCAAGAGCTGACATCACCTCAAGCCAAGTGGCACAATACATGGAACACGTGAACACGATCTGTATCTTCGCACATTCGGCAAATATTCCAACTGGATCTTCGACTATGGTCTCATACAGCCAACCGCCAAGCTTGAGGTGGGCACAACTGTGTTTAGCTCGTAGGGTCACATCTAAGTGGCCGTGGAACAAAATTGGCCAGGATCACAGAACTCTGAAACGAATCCTGGTGGCGGTCGTATGACTGTAAGCGTTGTTGCTGTAGTAGCCGCTACACACCCGTAGCGAAGCGATAGCCAGGTGATCTACCACTCGATGTTGCTCAGCTCAGAGCTGGAGAAACTGATATTGGACGACCGTGGGTCTGCGAAGGGGGAGTGACCGTTGCAAGAATGCTGTCACAAACTCGTCGTCATGCACACGGTGGCACCTCAACGTAATTATTACTGCAACTGTTTGACCCCGCATGCCAGATTTATTGACAGGATGAGGGGAGGGAGGATTGAGCAGGAAGATGGAAACAGAGGCGGAATCACGAGCAGTAAATAGAATCAGGAGAAACAAACCAAGGAAGATCAGGGTGTGGATCAGGACGATGGTACGCACGGAGGAAGGATGGAGAGGAGTGGGAAAAAGGATGAGAGGAAGTAAGAGGAGGGACGCGGAGGATGTGAGCGGAGGATGAGAGGAAGACGATGACGACGAGTGAAAAGGAACAGGAGGGAATATGAGACGGAGGAGGCGCAGGAGGAGGATTGGTGAGGCGTGGGGAGGAGTGAGGAGCTGGGATCTGTGGCGAGCAGCAATGAGAGGTGTGACGAAGGCGTATGAGGATGGTGAGATGTGAATGGCGAAGATGAGGAGGCAAACAGGAACTGACGACGAGCGAGGACGAGAGACGTGAACAACATGAGCATCATACGATCATATGGTCCAGCATGGCTCCTGCCCCCCCCCCACCCTCGGGAAAAGCTGGAAGTCCACTTTCACGGTGGTTCAGAACACGCGAAAACACTTTGTATGGGCAATTCAACGCATGGGAGGAGGGACAGGCATATCGCCCCATCTGGCGAGACCAAATAGCGCTCGCGCGCGGCCCCGCCTCCAGTGGCTTGTCGCAATGGAAAGCGCGCCGAACGCAAAGCGGGATGTGTATGACCAAGAGGCGAAAACCATATTCCGCTCGCGCTTGCCCCGCTTCCGGCAACGTGAAGAATTACACGTCGGTGCTTTGCCAATATTGTGGCGCCACTTCTGGGAAGGAGACTGCGCGGCGCGGGTGACTCTGACTCCCAGACGAGTCTTATTTGTCTATGCTGTGCCAGTCGGCGGGCCAACGTGTGGAAATATAGGTGGGAAGCGCCTGCGAATGAAAACGCACTGTCCTCTACGCATTGTGTTTCCCAAGCGTTCGCCGCGTCCGGACTGTTGTTTTCCGACTCGTCGTGTCTTCACTTCGCTGCGACTAAACATGTGTCACGAGGGGTACTGTGGATTGTTTAGGTTTGGACCGTGATGCTGGGATATGCAGCTTGCGGTATGCAAGTTCGGCAACTCCATTTGCGTTGGGCATTTTCAGCTGCGAAGTCTGAGCTAAGCAATGTCGGATACGTGGGAGGGTGGGGCGGTCAAAAAGGGCCCTGGGTCGCCCCAAGAGCGCTCCAATATGTCCAAGATGGCCTCACGACGGCCCAAGAGGCCTCACAGATGCCACAAGAAAGCCCGAAGAGCCCTCCCAAGAGGCCAACACCCTGCACTTTTGTTTGGTGGTTGCGCGATTTTAGCGTTCTCAGCTTTCCGGGATCCCGACACCAAGAGGTCCTCAAAACGGCCTGAGAGGTCCCCCAAACTTTCCAAAGGGCCCCCATGACGGCCCATGAGGGCCTCCACAGGGGCCCAAGAGAACCCCCAGAGGGGCAACGCGAACCGACATTTCGAGCCCTCCGCCCCAAGATTACCCCTGAGACAGCCAGAACGCCTCAAAGGGCCCACCAAAGCCCCAGGAGGCCCCAAAGAGGATTAAATCAGGCCCCGGGAGGCCCCCACGAGGTCTCCGAGAGGACCCAAGACATCCAGAAAACCGGCCCAAAGAGGCTTCCGAGAGGCCTCCCAATATATCCCCACAAGCATCTAAGAAACCTCTGGCTTACTACCCATGCACGGTGGCAGGATGGGCCAGAGGCCCCTAGATCCGCCGCCCCCGACTGATCTATCACAGGGGTGCCTGGCGTGCTGAACTTCTTACGGGTTGGTGTTGTTTCTTTGGTCCAAAATAACTCAACCCTCGGGATTCGGCCGTCCCGCCGCCCACCAGGAAGAGGTGATTGCAAACATTGTCCCAGTCCAGATGGCTCCAAGATGGCCTCCAAGTTCGCACAAGATAATCCCAAAACCTCGAAGACGACCCAAGAAAGTCCAAGATGCCTCCAAGTTCGCGCCAGAAGCCTCCAAGACGGCGCAAGACAACCCCAGAGTCCTCAAAGATGCCTCCAAGAAGGCCCAAGAGGCCTCCAAGACGGCCCACGAGATCTCCCAGAGGTCCTCCAGGAAGGCCCGAAGATGCCCAAATCATTGATTTTAGCTAGGTGTTTGAAGGGTGTTCGTTTTGGCTTCTCTTCGGCCTCCCAACGGTCCGAGACGGCCCAACAGCCCCCAAAGACCGCCCCAAGATGGCCCAAGATGCCTTTAAGATTGCCCCAGAACGGCCCCCGAGGCCCTCAAGACGGCCCCAAGAGGGCCCCAAGACGGCCCAAGAGGCCCCCAAGACGCCCTAGATGGCCTCCAAGAGGGGTCTGGAGCACCCCTAAGAAGGCCACAAGTCGGCCCAGAGAGGCCCCCAAGACTGCCTCCGACGGCGTCAGACGGGCCAGGAGGCCATACATACGGCCCAAGATGTCTCGAAGATGGCCCAAGACGGTCCAAGAGGCCACCAAGAGGTCTTGAGCTCTTGAGCGCGCTTGAGCGCTCTTGAGCGCTGCATGATGCTGCTGCTGATGATGATGATGCTGATGATGCTACTGATGATGATGATGATGATGATGATGATGATGATGATGATGATGATGATGATGATGATGATGATGATGATGATGATGATGATGTGATGATGATGATGAGGAGGAGGAGGAGGAGGAGGAGGAGGAGGAGGAGGAGGAGGAGAAAGAGGAGGAGGAACAGGAGGAAGAGGAGGAGGAAGATCCCTCCCCTACGCGGGGGGGAGGGGAGGAGGAGGACAAGGACAAGGACACAAGGCGCTTGGAGAGATGAGTTCAGTCCGAGCGGCAGCACCGGCGGCGGCTGGAGCAGGAGGAGGAGTTGAAGAAGGCGGAGGAGGATCTTTTCCCCCACGCGGGCCCCCCCCTCTCCGCCCCCAGGCGGTGGCCTGGCCCGAGCAGGACCTCGACGGGACCGGACAGGCTGAAGGGAGGCGTGCCCTGCAGCGCCTTCGACCCCGAGCGCCAGCGCCCGCTCTCTTCCTGCATCTCCCTCCCCCCTCTCTCTTTCTCCCCCGTCTCTGCCGCTCCCTCTTCCTCTTCCTTGCTCTCTCTAACTCTCTCTCTCTCTCTCTTTCTCTCCCTCTTGTTCTCTCTTTTTCAGCCTCGTTCTCTCCCTGTACCTCCCTCTCTCTCCCCCACTCCCTCCCTCCCTCCCTCCGTCTCGCACGCTCGCTCGCTCGCTCTCCCTCTATCTCTCTCTCGTTATCTTTCTTTCATTCTTTATATATCACTGTACATATATATATATATATATGAGAAAGAAGCGCGCTCTCCGTAAGCCCACTCGGCCCCCATGGAGGGAGGGGTGGGCCAGGCCACGCGGGGGGCTACGCGCCGGAGCCGCAGACACAACCACCGTGTCGACCGCAGGGGCACCAGCCTGCCGGCAGAGTCGAGACGGTACCAGTAGGAACGCCACTCTACACCAAGAGCCGCGCCAAACACCGTTGCGCACAGTCGCGGTGATGCTGCCACCGCGGCTGATGGACACAGTGCAGGCACCAGCCCTACTGGTGGAAGCGGCGGGAGAGGCGACCGCCGCCCCACTTCCGATGGAAGCGGCGGAGAGCGCCCGAATCGGACGTCCCCGCCAAAACCAGCCCACGCGGTGATCGGAATCCAAGCGGACTGGCTGCCACCGATGAACTCACTGCACGCTACCCACGAGGCGTAGCCCAAAGGCCCCTAACGTGGGCATCGGGCGGCCCAGGGCCCTGCGTAGCTGCTACACCTCATCAGCGACAGAGGGGCGAGAGATACCGAAACGCGGACACCAGCGAGTGAAACAAGCCCTCTGGAAAGGCCCCTCCGACGACCCGCTCGCACCCGACCCCGCGATACACATCATCGACCTGATTGAAAACCCGGTGCAACAACAGAGCAGCGGAGTCACCTGGATCAGGGAAGAAAATGCTGCCACGTCGGGGTCCGCTCTATTCCCGTGGCTCATTTGGGATCCTTCCACGTTGCCGAACGGAACGGAATGGCACGGATCCTTCCACGTTACCAGGATTGAAAACCTTGAGCGCATCCGACACGGTGCCTTGGAGCTGCTGCCAGGACATCGGCGGGAGGCAGCCAGCGCGAAGTTACCAGACCGCGTCTATGTCAGCATTCACCCCGTGCACACTGCAAACTACTACACCCCGCCGCTCACCACCGAACCAGGGAAGGCGGAGCGCCCCATTGCGGAAGGCCCCATCACCATGCTGTCATGAGAGGCCGGACCTGTCCCAAGAGGCACTGGAGACAACAAAGCCGCTGTCCAAACCGTCAATCCAGGCCCTCATCCCGCCAAGCTCATCTACCCGGAGGTCCTTCAGCCCTTCGTCCGATGGGGCGCGAGACGTCGTCTCGAGTGCGTAAGCTGCGAGACGCAAACGGAATCGGCGACCACGCGCAGGCGCTCACCACATCAGGCATCATTGACGCCACTACACACAAGGTGGCGGATCTCATCGATGGGAAGACTGCCAGAGGCCAATCCACGCTGGGCAAAGAAGGCCCCACAGGCATAACGCTACGCTACCCTAGATCAGCACGCGGGTGGCTGACTCGTAGGGGGCATAGCACGCTCCCTGAGGGTGGCGTCCTCCCTAACGTTCCTCTTCCTGGGCGGTGGCTGACTCGCAGGGGGCACAGTGCGCTCTCTGAGGGTGGCGTCCTCCCTAACGTTCCTCTTCATGGGCTCGAGGAGACGGGCATCCCACGAAGACCTGCCGACTCGACGAGGCACGGAGGCAGCGGCTGGCGCGCCAGCTCCACCCCTGCCCTGACGGTGAAAGCGACAGTCCCCTGAGATCCTGGCGTTGCAACTTCTTCGCAACGGGCGTTTTCGCCCGGCTTCGCGCCCCGGGACCCTCACAGTTCGATCTGGCTCGAAGCAGGACGCAGGAAGATGGGGTCTGGGGCTCTGGCGGTGAGTTGTTTATTGCGAAATTGCGCTTTTTGTGCAGCGGCCTCTCGGGCACCAGCACGAGATGAAACGCCATCGCCAGCCCAGAACCCGCGCATCTCAGCGACGGAACAAGCCACTGGCTGCCAAGCCCATGCCAGGGCGGCCACCAAGGACGCGCAGGGGGGTGAGGTCGCGGCCAAGGACGGGCGGAAGCGAGCCGCAAGGTACCAAGATGAGGCGAAGTAGCGAAAACCGCGGGGACGCACGCGATCTTCAAGCTCCCATGGGCCACGTGGCCCTGAGTACCAGAAGGGGCCCAGCAGGGCCCCCTAACGGAGCCTCAAACCTCGAAGCTTGTGGACAAGCAGTGCTTCTCGCAAAGGGAATCTGCAAATCTGCAACCGTCCGCCCGACAGCGATCGCGACGACCTAGACGCCGTACTGCCGATGGACGAGCACCAGCCCGATCCAAAAGCCAGATCCGATCATGTGACCGACTGAAATGTCCGCCACATCCCTGGCACGGCCGGCGCTCCTGGCTGGCCGCTGCTCGACACGTCTGACGACCGCAAGACCCACGACGAAACCTATCTCCAGTGTGGAGTCGGCACCGTGCCAACCGAAACTCGAGGTTCCACAGAGAAGCCCTCGTCGTCGTCAATGGGAAGGCCCTGCGCGCGAAATATAGACATCCTGATAGCGGGCAGGACAATATCCTTGACATTAGTAACGTCAGCCCCATGCTCTGGCCACGCAATTCCAATCAGCAGACGCTCAAGCCGTCCCTGGTCGTTCAGACCACCATCGACAGCTGGGGCCGTGATGCACCATGGCGCAGAATGGCCACCACCAGAGATGAGCTCCAAAGCACATTTGTATGTCCCAAAGCCAACTGCGGCTTCAGCGTGTGCCCCGTCTGCGCCCGACACCTGCACGCTCCCAGCGAAATGCTCCGCACTGCGAATGGTGCAGAAGAGCCCAAGTCATTCTAGATTGGTCCAACAAGCAGTGCCACCGACGGGCAGGCAGCTGGGTCTCCCCGTACGCTCTTGCCGAAGGTGTCAACGCTTGTGGCTTTAACTGCCGCAACATCCAAGCGGCCCTCGAGGGGTGCAACCCCTGGGGCCTCCAGGGCTCAACACCGCACTTCGGGATCCGACCCAGATGTTACCAAAACGCAGTCAGCCAAGGACCGCTGCTCCAAGCAGGTCCGCAACGGCAAGTCGTGCGCACTAAAGCCGACCAGGACGACGCGAGTGCCGGGCCACCAGGCAACCCGAGCATCCAGAGACCACTAGGTCTCGAGAGTTGTCGGCGTCACCAGCCCAGGTGAGCAGCTAGTTGTCTTCAGGGAGGAATCTGGGTTCGACCCCGACCGACCCTTTTTCAGGGCAGGAGGCATTGTCATGTTCTACCGGGGCAATGGCATCCTGAACATCTCTGCCTTCGAAAGGTCAGGCCGCTCACCATGCCAGCGCATCCTCTCGGGCCTCACTGAGAAAAGGCGCGCCGCCAACGTCCAACGCATCATGGAACGCATTGCCAGGAGCTTCCACCAAGACGACACCAGATGGAAAGGGGTAGATCTTACATGGCGAACCGCGGTTCTGCACCCACAGTCTCTCATCTTTGACGTGCTTGCAAGCGCGAGTAGCGCACGAGGGGTCTTCCGCCTTTGCGTGCAAGCAGCGCCAAATCTGCCAAAGAAGGCGCGAAGGTGGCCACTAGGTCCACCACCGAGAGAACATATATGTGTATACATATATATCTATATATATATATAGATGTATACCAAGGTGGCTCAAGATAGCGGCACTAGTCTCCTGGAGTGCGAACACGACACGGTACAGAGCCAGCTCCAGTTCCACGAGCCGACCGCCAGCGCCAGGAGCGTGGCGCCGCCGAACGGCAGCCACCTAGGCCACCGCCGCAGGCCACGCACGACGCGATCACGGACGGCGGACGGCGGGCGGACGGACGGCGGACGACGCCACCCGGACCACCGGGGGAAGGGAGGTAAGTTCCGCCAGTGGAAGCAACGGTATGCGGCTTGGCCTCCCGATCCCGCTGATGGGCAGGAAGGCAACATAAAACAAATAATAGCTGGACAAAGCCATGAGGGCCGTTCAAGGCAAGAGCGACCCCCGCCACGGACGCACCCAGCAGGCAGTCGGCCACCTCGCGCAGCAACAGCGATTGCGGCCAGCGGTGGCACGGAGCCAAACCCGCCCCGGCTAGCACCAGGCCAGCTTGCAAGGTTTCGCCAACTCCGAAGGCTATGCCACCTGCGAAGTCTTTCCCAAACAAAGTGAAAGCAAGCGACGACCTGCCGCAATTCGGCGACAGCCAGACGGAACCCCAGGACAGCAGCGAGCCGCAAGGCCCAACCCTGGCACCAGACGACCGCTCCATAGCCCCACCTAGTGAAGCACCAAACTTCGCCGCCCAGACAAACGCCAGACGCTTCGCAACCCAACGAGGCAACAGGGCAACAGCGCGCCAGTCATCGCGGCGACGGCGGGCAGGGCCCCCTTCTCTGAGTCAACCGTTCTGAGCCTACCAGCGGGCCCGCTAGCGACAGCCACGCCCGCGTCACCTGGACCAAGGACCGAGGCCCTTCCGAAGGTACCGGGGGGAAGCCCATGCGAAAAGCCACCAGGGCCCCAGGCACCTGAGCCGAAGGCCCCTACCAGACCCCAGGCCCACAAGGCCTCCGGGTGTGAAAGGCCAGTCCGAGTCAATCTGGAGACGAAATCGCCTGACACCGACGCGGACGGAACGGAGAAGAATGGGCCTGATCTGGCCGACATCGACTACGACGGTGCTGGACAAGACGGACAGCGAGGAAGGCCATGACGCGGGCCCGATCACGGGATCTGCCGCGGCTGCCGCGCCAACGAGTGGCTACAGGAGCGGTTCCCCGCGCTCGGCGATGACGACGGCGGCGCCCCCTCCCCCCCCCCTTCGCCCCCCCCCCCCCTCTGTCGCGTCGTCTGCCGCCGTCCCCGCCGGTCGGGCTGCGTGCTCCGTCGGTTCGCCCTTCTTCTCC